ACTTGTGGCTTGATAAGCTCGACTCGCGAGCTCGTTAAAGAGAGCCTGCTTGACTCACTTACAACCCTACTTGTAACCGCTTTCTTAGCAAGCGAGAAAATTTGTTTGCATGAAATTAACTACACGTGATCGCTTTTCTTAGCAAGCGGACAAATTTGTTCAATGAAATTAAGTACATATGACTATTTTTCTTAGCAGGCAGGAAAATGTTATGATTTATAAACAAGTACTTGAATATCGGTTGCGGCCTTTCTTGGCAGGCGAAAAATAAAATTTTGGTCGCGATGTAACCCAACATCTATCGTGACCGTCTTTCTTGGCAGACGGGAAGGCTTAGCACCCCAATGAAGCCCCCTACGAGGGGACGATACCGGGGTGCTACCGAAATTTACAAAAAAATAATTGACTTAAACAAAATTTAACAAATCTAAAACCTAATCTAGCTCCTAATTCAACAAGAAATCAAACATGCACAAAAACATAATTTGCAAATGTTGAAAAGCAAAAGATGAATGAAAAGTAAACTTCAACAAAATGGGTTTTACAATGAACTTGTACAAAAAAATTTTGTTGCTCGTCAACCAACACAATCATAATCTAAACTTTTTGCCTTATCTCTAAGCTCGCGCACACACTCAAATTCCTTAGCAGTGCACACTCTAAATTGAAATTAACTAAGGTCGAGTTCTTTATTTATAACCCGAGAAATTGGTCCCTTATGGGACCTGCTAAGCTAAACTCAAAATACAAAATGATTAGAGTCAAGGGTACACAAGTGTTTTGGTAGCGTACACGCTAGCTGCTAAAGTAAAGAGATTCGTACGTGCCCTGTGAATGTGTCGTACACCATGTGAACATTTATCTTTGAAAAGAAATAAAATAGAACACTATTACATGTCACGAGTCATACGACCCTCACTAAAGTGCTTTAATCATATCAATGCACTATACGAGAGCACTAAATAACATGCACATATAGTTGATCATGCAAATGTGCAACTGAATTGTGCAAGTGCTTCATACAAGTGCACCACACAATGTGTAAATGCATTACATAAGTATATTATGTGCCATGCAAATGAAGCATGCTATCGCATGAGCCCCGACGAGCGTGACATATACGTGACTTCTAAGCATGTTGCGCGAACTAATAAAAATAATAAATTAGATGAAAATCAACTACTCTGAAAAATGTACTAACATATCGTGCAAATATGCTACCATGCATAATATCATTTAAAATGAAATTTAAGATACCCTCATGTGCTCCGACCACTACGCTCAATTTTCAAACCCGAGGACTGAGAATGTTGTGCAGGTCAAAAGTGAACTTACGTTCAAATCCGATCCCCCCTATGAGTGGACCAAAGTTAACACGACTTGAACCAACAAACAAATACACGGTTATAGTGTCGATCGGAGTATTCAATTTTATACATTCATATTAGGCATTCATGGGCTCTTATAATAAAAAAATCATAACCAAAATACAAATTCTCAATACCAACACTCAGTGAATTAACTGAAGTATTTCGTTTTATAAGCTCATATTAGACCTTCAAGGTCTTCTATAAAGAAAATTCATTTATTATGATACATACTCTCATTATGTTATTTCTACGATAACTCTAAAAATTAGGAGCTAAATTTGATCATTTATTAGCAAGCAAACAGAGTTGACAAGATTCAACTAAGAAAATGACAATACCCATAAAACGCCAATGTTGGTCATGTTGAATGCCCCAAAATTTCAAAGTTAATACCTCTAAATTTCAAAGTTAATTGTTCAGCGCTCAAGTTCAAATAAAAATTTCAAATCTATTTCTCTTAAAAAAAATAATATCTAATCGAAATAAATAACATAAACAACGACAACAACAAGCCTTTATCCCACTACGTGGGGTAGGCCCACAACAGTTTGTCAAGGAGGATAAATTTGAATATTACTTCAGTTCACAAAGAGTGAATGACTAGAAGAGAATATCACTATGAATCATTCTCAAACAATCTCCTGCCAATAAGGACGTGACAAGTGTCCTGTAACCGGTGGTTTTGCCGCCAAATAACACCACAAATAAACGGTTATAACCGGGGCCCTCTGATGTGAACTCTAGAATGAATATTTCTGGGGCCCACAAATAAACCTAACCAATACTAAAGTTCTTCTAGACAAAAAAATTAAGAGAAAGGAAACAAAATGCAATAGAAAACTGATAATGAATATAGAGCCTTCAACTAAAAACATTTAAGGCCCACATCGAATTGGTGTCAAAGTTAACATTTATACCATCTTGAAATCCAATTTCATTTGTGAGGTTAATTTATTTCCATTAAAATCAGTACCACCTTTTAATAGTTTCACCACAAGGTATTCCATACATCTCCAATGCAAAATAGGAATAATTCAAAAGAATGTAACAAAACTAATATTTATGAAAGCAAACTTTAGTTCCTCTAAAAACATTGAACTTTACCAGCAGAAGCATGAGGAAAAATAGCTTCATCTGCCCCTTTGGACAAGAGGATTATTTTTTCATTCTGGCAGTCCTTGACAACAACAGACATTCTTTTCCTATCTGATGTGAACTCAAGAATGTCTAATATTTCATATTGCAGATCTACACCCCTGAAGTTAACCTCTGAGTATGTCATTTAAAAATATAATTCAGTAACTGCAGATATTCTTCATCAAGAAATAAAAACAAAAAAAAGTTGTCCACAGGATTAAAGTGGGAATCTCCTACTAAGAATATTTCCACTTTTGTTGGTTAGGACCATATGCAACTGAGAAGCAGCATTTACTAAAGCATATTCATCCTGAGATAGTGCCTTATATGTCATTGCTCCACCAGTACTGCAGGAAACAAAACAAAAAAACAAAGCATCACAAAATAACAGTAAACAAGAGTAAAAGCTGGCCCACAAGGAAAATACATTGTGTGTCACCTTTTAATTGGTGTTACTGTGTTGCAAATTGTCATTACAGTGAGAAATCTGATAACATCAGGGACATTGTTGCTAATAGCATGGAGAAATGCAGCATCTATCTAGAAAAAAGGTCACACGGTTACTTCTGTTAAAATGCAGTAGATTGGCAGAATTCAAGGACCAAATGAAATGAAACCATAAACGAATAATTAAAACATAGAACAGTTGGGTTTACGATATCCAAAATGTTCAAAATAAATGTAAGCATAAACTTCCTCTAAATATTAATTTATTTTCATTAAATTCTCTTTTTAATTTTGAGCATTTTGACATATAGAAATGTAAAATATTAATCTAATTTTATAGATGTATAGCAATTCAATAAATAGTTGTTTAATACTTGAGTAATAGTTAATTAAAAATTTAGTAATACTCAATTAACAGTACAGTTATGTAATATTTCATTTAAGTTGATTTAATTAAAATATTAAATGCATCTACTGTAGCTAAACCACTTAGCCAAGCATGCATTGGTTGATGAGATCCTACGGCTAGAAGAGGATGAAGGTGTTACGGGAAAATGCATTATAGCATAATAACATTATATAGGTTAAGTTAAAGCACTGAAGCCTTAACATTTCATTTCCTTTCTTCCACTGTCTGTCCTCCGAAGTCTGAAGCCGTGGGTGAGCGGGGAGCTGGAGAAGGAGGCTGGAGCTGTTTGCTGGGGCGGTTGCAGCTTACAGCTGCTATGAAGGAAAATATCATAGAGTAGAGGTAAGGAAAAACATAAAAGAGCTAGTATTATTTCTGAAATAGTATTTGTTGAAGTTATGATTGTAAAACTCGAAAACGACGATCGTAGGTCGCCGCACGCATTTCGATGCGTCACGACGAAACTTAAGTGAAAAAATCAAGGTTAACGGAATTTGACGAAAATAATTTTATAAAATTCTGATCGATTTGATATATAGAACCTATAGTTAATTTTATGTATTTTGAGAAATAAAAATTATGAAGTCTCTAAATGCCAAATATACCCCTAAGAAAAAAAATGCTGGAATTGTTTAAGTGAGGGTATATGAGTCATTTGGCAATCACCTTTCTCTCTAATATAGCAACCGAACCCTTTCCCCCCTCTAATTTCATTCGGCCAAACTGAAACCGAGCGGACGAAGGAGCGTACGGGCAGACGGGCTAAGGGCGACGGGCACGTCGCCGGCAGTGATTTTCCGTCAAGAAATTTAGTGCAAATCGAAGATGACGATAAGAGGATTACAAAGGTATGATTTATTTAAAGCGAATCCTTCTAAATCCATCTAAATCTCAAGTTATTTGAAAAAAGAAAATCTATGGTTTTTCCAAAAATGTGTTTTCTTTCAAATTTTCTTTACGGAATCAATAGGGGAGTATTTTAACGGTAGAAACGAAGTTTCCTTTGAGAATTTTTTAAATTCAAAAATTAGGGTTTAGATCTAAAATTTAATTTTCTTAAGACATCTTTACAAAAGTGGTTTCTAAGGGTTTTAGAAATGTTTCTAAGGAAAAATTTTAAGTTTTTAGTGAAAATTTCATTTTTAGTAATTTCCTAATTAATTAAATCCGAAAATTAAGGTTAAATAATGTAAATTTATTAATCGTCGTAAGGAACAATTAAGGATAAACGAAGGGTTTAGACAAGTGGGAATTTATTTAAAGCTTCAGGAAATAATTTTAGTTGATTTTTATTTTGTGTTTATTAGGTGGTGATTTTTGAGGGATCGAAACTTGTCAGCAATACTAAGGACGTACGGTGCTTAAGTGAAGGTAGGTATTCATGTTTATTGAAAAAATTTCATAATTATATTTTGATCTTTTATTCAATGCAAATAGTTGGAATTTTTCATGTTACACAATTTATGAATTTCATTTTTGACAAATAACATATTCTAATCTTTTATTTCATGAAGTTAGCGATCTTTCATATTATGTTTAGATTTAATGTTTTCATGCTTTGAACAAATGAGTTTTGATTCACAATTATTCACATTACGCATATGCTGAAAGAAATTATAATATAAGATTGTGCATGCTGATGCAGAGTGCCCAAAAGGTAAAGGGACTCGAAAGGGTCAAATGGTAAAGGGGCTCGAAAGAGCTAAATGGTAAAGGAGGCTCGTTAACGAGCCAATGGTAAAAGAATGACCAAATGATAATGTTATGTTCTCTACGCAAGTAAAAGTTTATGTTTAAAAAAAAGGTAAATGAAAGGTTTATGATTGAGGAAAGAAAAAAATATATTATGAAAAGATTTCTTATAAGTAATGTTATGAACTTATGTAAGTTTGACCTTCGTTTAATGTTTTATTATGAAAAGATGCTTTATTTTGATTTTATGTAAATTTTTATGAAAGACATGAATTACCTACTAAGCGAGTAAGCTCACCCTTGATTATGAGAATCTTTTTCAGGAGCACCATCTGGAAAGTAATGGCAACGAGGCGACAGTACACCTACCGTCGTAGAGGACCTCAGAAAGAAAGGTTTTTGTGTTTTCTGTTATAAGTTTGAGTTAGTGGTTTGTATCTATAAAGTTTGTTGGAGTTTGTGTAACTGTTGATGCTTATGTTTTAGTTATTGTGATGAAAAGAAACAAATTTAGAAAACTTACAGATGATGTTTTAATGGCTCTTTCTTATTATTTTTGGATGATGTTCATGTTCAGTTATAAAAGTTAAATGAAATTGATTATGGTTTACATGTGTTTTCCGTATGACCGACTGTTCCCGCCCTGTTATTTCGGGCTAGCCGAGCCGGGTCGTGACAAAGATTGCTGAAATCAGTTGACTATTGTTTAATTCAGCTGAGGTAAGGGCTATAGTTGCTAAAATCAGTATTTGGCGCTGAACTCATTGTGTGAAAAATCTGTATTTTGCTGAGATCTGCTGAAATTACAGCATAGGGCTGTTGTACATTATTGAAATCAGCTGTAATTACATAAACTAGTGAGGAAAAGGAAAAGGAAAACGTAAGGGCTGGTAAGGGCATTGTTGTTTGTTTATATTAGGTAATAATGGTTGCTGAAATTCATGTCTTTGTGCTAAAATCAATAAGGTGAAGATAAGAAAATTCAGAAAATAATAAAGAAAAAAAAAAGAAGGGAAGTAGAGAGGAAGAAGGGAGTAAGAGGTGAGATTTTGGGTTGAATGAGTTCATTCCAGGTAAAGTTTTATATAAATTGTGGTATTTTTATATGCTACATGTATGCATGCATAAATAAAGAAAACTTATGTTTTAGATAGTATACAAAAGAAAAAGCAATCGAGTACTATAGATGAACCAGTTTATCCTACTATTCTGAAAAACGAGATGAGATACTCAAACGATGTCATAGGAAATAGTAAAATTTAATATATTTGCAACCTCACACTTATTATGTTTATGATAACATTTCATTCCAGTTTATTCATGTATGAAGTTGTTGATTCATTAAGTAATAAATATAATAGCACATTATATGATTGTAAAAAATGAATGATATTGTAAAGTTAAAATAAGTCATATATGTGAGATAGACCAACACAAGTAAAGGCAAAAAATTGATGAGGTAAGTCTATACTCTCAAAATTCTAAAAATGGGAAATCAAACTCAACTTTGAATGAGAGAGCAGCTTCAATTCTAAAAGTTAAGAATTCATACCCAATATTGAATTGGATAGTTAGGAGGGTACAAAAGATTAGCCATCATATGACTTGTATAAAGGTGTTTACAGAAAGTGATGTTATGCGTTTCTTAGGTTTAATATGGAAATTTATGTATTTTAAATTAATTGCTAAAAAGTTCATTATTTTCTCTCATAAATTGATTGTATATATCATTGAGCTCAAGCTTATTAACAGTAGTTGTACTGCATGAAAGGAAAATGAGCTAGTATGGCACTAGAAAAAAGGGTGACTAAAATTTTTGTGTACATACATCTTTTTGGTATACAAAGATATCGGAGTAGTAATTATACATACACTTTTGAGTATGTAAATGAATTATAAAAACTTTAGTGAAGCTCTGTATTTTATTGAAGGTTTGTATTTTATTTGAGTTATCTTAAATATGTTTCATGTTATTTTATATAAAACTTGTGATGCTAAGATAGTCTGAATAAGCTACTTCCTACTCACCTAATTCTGATAAAAGTAGTTCAAAATGGGTGTCAGTAAAAAATAGGTATATTCAAATTCCACCTCTTTATTACACTCTAGACTAACTATAGGGGGGTTAAAAACTTAAAATGGGTTAACCTCAAATATCAACCAAAAAGTCGTCATTTAGTGTCTGTCACAAGCACAAACGAAAAGGTCTCTAAGGATTGATATTAGGTCGAAAAGGATTGATTCTAAGAGAGGTCTTAATCCAAAAACAAAGAATCATAAATGTGATTAAAAGTAACAAAAGTTTTAATCCAAAAACTAAGATTAAACTCATTAATTGGAATTTGAAAACTTTTAATCATAATTGATGAGGTCATCGACAGACATTTTAGGAAAGTCTACCGGCGAAGGAATCGTAGATCGACGGCTACAATTAGGAGCTTATATTTCTGATGTTTTCCATGTATCTTTTAATTTCAGTTCAGTTTACTATTTTACCCTTATGGATGTTTAGTCATTGTTGTAGCCCTTTGGGCATTTAAGTCATGCTATTTTCTTTTGATGAGACCTATATAGAGAGGTCTTCTACTTTGTATGAGGTTAATGTTGGATTAATAAAAATTTTGAGATTGTCATTCTTCTTCTTCTTGCTTGAGAGCTTAAGAGAAAGAGAGGAGACCTAAGAGAGGCTCCAATCGGAATACCCAACAGCCCACATAGGTGAGCTCTTGGTCTTATCTTATTTTTTTCTTGTTTTCTTCTTTCCACCTCACCTCCTACACCCTACCTCTTCCCCTCCCCTTTCTCGTCTCCCTTACCAGCCGACCCAACCAAATCCCCCAAAACCCGTCGGCTTCCCCCTCCTCCTTGCCGCCGGCTCAGGCCAGCCCACCGTCCCCTTGCCCAGCCCCCTCCTCCCCGTGAGCAAATCAAAGAAAATCTGAAATTCAAATTCAGATTTTCTCAAAACAAGATCTCCCTCCAAATCCCAACTCATAGCTCATCCGCCCCCTTCTCCTCCCCACTCCACCGACGGCATCCCTCCTTCCTCCAAGGTCACAGCTCCATCACCCGTCCCTCTCCCTATCTCACGGCAAGCTCCTCCACCTCTCTATTTCTTCTTCCCATTCAATCCCACTATGAATGGCGGATCCCGAAATTGAATGCGGATTGGTATTCGATATCTAAGGCGACATCCACATCACCCGTTCATCATTCTTCGACGTCAGATTTGGCTCCGACGACACGGTTGAGGACTATTTGAATCGTATCCTTCCCACTCTCGTGGACGTCGTCGACAACCAATTCCAAGACTACGTTTGGACAATCACCGGACGCTATCCACCACCACCTCCACCGGCGGCTGCCTCTCCGATAACGAAGACCTTCGTCTCCTTCTCCTAGTGGTGCTCTCCATCCTTGTATGGTTCTTTCTTCGTCGCTAAAGCCAAGAGTGAATGAGTGAGAAGGTGCTCGAGGTGAATTTTCTCATTATTAAGCGTAGGATTTTGTTATGAGCACTTAAGTATTTCTTTTATCATTGGATGTTATTTGAATTGTTTGGTTACTTCAAAGCACATCTTCGCCTAAGCAAATTGCATACTTAGAATTTATTTAATCCTTTATTTTATTGGTGATAACTTTGTGGTGGTAACGCTTTATTTAATTATCATCTTAATTTCCGCAAGCAACTCCTACATGATTCACATCAATAATGCTAAAGAATAAATGGAGATGAAAATCTAGAGCACTTAACTTAGGTGGGGCAAAAAGGATAATATAAGGATGGCCAAATTAGGAAGCATAGAGTCCCATGTGTTGGATTGTCCAAATAGAGTTTCTTCAAGTGATGATAAATTGCTATGCTTGTATCCAATACCATCGCATCATATCATGTGCTTGTAAAAAAGTAGTAATCCAGTAAACTGGTGAGAAAGAAATAAAGACCCTATGTTTGTCTAAATCAATATGCAAAATTAATCCAGCATACTTCCATATGCGTAAGCTTCATACTTGAAATAAATTTCATACTTTTCCCTAGTTCTCATAAATCTTAATGCATATTCACACAAATCCTACTTCCAAGGTTCATAATATTCCGCTATCCTTCTTTTTTTAATTCATGACTCATAGATCTGGAGAAAACTTTCAAATAATCCTCTATCTTCTAATTAAAATCAACATTCACTGCTATTATAAAATCACAAGCAACTACAGCTAAAAAAGAATAAATGAGAATCCTCCTATGCATCACCAGCTAAGCAAAGATGATGTATGGAAGCAGAATAATCAAGCACAGAGCCAATTAAGGTATGAGATATTGCACTATAGTCAAAACAAGGACAAAGTTATATTGCTACATGAAGTTCTATATTCAATGCATTATTAAGTAAATCAAATGGAGATTTAAATTCATTCTATGCAATTCTATGTTTAAGAGAAGTTTCTACCAACAAATTGTTATATCATAGCCTCCAATTGTCAAAGTTAAGAAATTAGCGAATCTACTTGTTTATACAAATGTTCCAATGAAATTAATGAAGTAAATTATTTAAGATAGAAGGCTTAACCTTTCAAAGCATCACCATTTTCATTCCCATAAGATATACCACTAATACAGCATCTCCTGAAGACCATTCTATTCTCTGTTAGTGTCCCAGTTTTGTCGGTTAAAATGTATTCAACTTGTCCCAAATCCTCGCTAATTGCTGTGCTGGAATAAACAGACATTTAAGAGCAAAAGATTGGACGGAAAATTTTAGTAGCACTTAGCACATTAAAGGTAAGAGCAACAAACTTTGCAGCATGTGCTGGGGTATTAGTATCTTGATCAAGCATTTCTTCATCCCACTCAATAAACTTTGCATATACGCTCTTCACAAGATCTAAAGAAACCTGAAAAATTAGAAGTTTGTGTCCATAAAAACAGAATATTAATTTTTTTTATAACCTGCCAAACATTTTTAAAATTAACAAAAACACTTAAAAAGGCATGTTCAAAGCGTAGATGCACAAAAGAATTACTTGACTCATTGCTAAAACAAAAATATCAAACAAAACTAACTGAAAACTGGTGTAATTGTGTCTGGATTTAGCGAATATCAAGAATTTTCAAATATTCACTCTTAAAGGCCTTCCTTTTCATTTAAGAAAGTCAGTATAATGGTAGGACCAGACTGAGGGACAGAACATTGTTGCTGAAGGTCAAAATATGTTATGGAGGATTTAAGGCTAGGGAAAAACTCAATGTTAAAAAAAATTCCTGCAGCTGGGAATACCAAAGCCTACTACGTGATTGTTCATCCAAAGTGGTAGATGAGAGCCTACACCATATAGCTTTAACACAGCCATCAAAAATTGGTCACCTATCAATAAAATAGAATGGTACAAATTCTAATTTATATGAGTTACATTTGACACAAGCCATTAATCCCAACTACGGAAAAGCTTTATGAAAAGAATTTCTTTCACATCACTTCTGGATGAAAAAAGATAGCTATTTCTTTTAGGCCAGCGTCCTTATGTAAGTACAAGACATTGATCATTAACAGGAGGAAGCTTCATTCACATAGCAAAGCCACGTGCAATTTAAGCGGAAAACCTCTTCTTACGGTAGAACTAATCTTGAGGGCTGACCAAAATCACAATGAGAAAATGAATGTTTTAGAATCAAGAGGTTTAGACCGCATTGAGCTTCTCCTTATAGGACTTCAATGCAGTAACCTTGCCCAAACTGACTGGTCAATATTTGTAATGAAAACGTGATAAGAAAGAAGGTATAGAATCACGCTCCCGCCTGGACGGCTGAACCGGTCCAGTGGACCGGTCTAACAGCAATCAGCCAAAAAAACATACAAAAAATGTCAACAAAGCTTCAAGTGTGCCTAAATTTTGACAACAGACATCTAATAATCATGGACAAAGTTAGTGTAACTAAATTTTGACCTGACAAGCCATCCAAATATTCACGGAATGAGTAATTTGTATCACCTAAACTGGTTCAGGATAAATTTGAGACAACTTCATCGCGTACATGAAGTTTCCACTTAGGTTCATTGCAATTCTAAAGGAGATGAAACAATCAGCTCAAAATGCCTTGAGATATATATATATATATATACTAGTTTATCTCACTTTTATCAAATTTAATCGAGTTTACTTCTGCAAAATTATTAGCTTAAGACTGAAAATTTTGGGACTGCTTGAAGCATTAACAAGCCTTCTCTAAATTTCAAATTAATAAACTTCATGTCAATGTAATTAGGAAATTGATTTTAAAAGAAAAAGAAGTATTAGTGGTCATAATCAAATCATGTTGACATATAAATGGCAACACAGAAATTTTACTAAATGAATCAACAGATTAATTAGATATCAAGGTGGAAAAGAGAGTAACAAGAATGGGAAGAAAAGTTGCTTTCATGTACCTTAATTGATATAGGAATCATGATTGAACATAAAAGTTCAAATCGCAGAGGGATTATCAAAAGTTCGTACCATGGTCCTTCACTCGGATACATAACATACCATTGCTACATGAGAGAACAATTTTCATCAGGAAAAAGTTCTGAATAAGTAAAAGAACAGTAACCAATAAGGACTGCAATTTTAAAAAATCAAACTATCAAACATGGAATACTACATTCCAGTTTTGCATCCTAAGATTCTTAAATGCATGATCGACTTAGATGAGAGAGCTTCACGAAAAAAAAATATGAAGGTTACTGATTGCAAAATTAAAAGTATTTACACACTAATTCAGAAACCTTGTAGTAAAAGGATTTCCCTCTACATCAAATGAAACAAATATTTTTCAAGCTAAACCAGAATAATCGGACGCCATTAAGTATCAAAAAACCAACTCCAGAATAAAGAGTAACACAAAGTTAAACACCTATTCTAAGGACTTTGTATGCAAGTATTGCATTAAAGTTTTAATAAACAAGCCATCTCTATGTTCTCCGCAATAGCAAGCCAAACCATTGCAACCTGGTAAATAGTCGATCAACAATATTGGTGATATGTTTGCACAAATAAGTAAATTCTGTTCTGGAAACAAATAAACAAATTCCTAATTGTTCGGAAAAAAAAAGTATGTGCATCCAATGCCATTCAAGATAAAAAAATTCCTAATTGTTCGGAAACAATCTAAACAAATGAAACCACATTTAAACTGAATATTTATTTGTTCATAAAGATCACATCACTTTGATCAACATAAGTTTTTAGTGACAATTTCCATTTTTAAGTTAGCTGTTTATGTGAAGAGAACTAGAAGAGATCAATAGGAAATCATTAATGGAAAGCAAAGGCATGTTCAACAAATTTTGATAGGCAAACAGAAATTGGGGGAACAGATTAATGCAATCAGTAGGACAAGCACCTTCAGTGTTGACCTCCATGCAATACAAAAAAAGGGAATGAACCCGTCGGATCCACAAATATTGCCGGAAATCCAGCATGAAATCCCGTGACAACTCTGCAAGCGGCGCCGAAACATCCCGGGTATCCAGCGATCCGCCTCGATCGAACGACCCCAGACTTCGTTAAATACCGAACCAAATGGAGCGTTAGGGCAGCTCTTTTCTCGTTCCACTTCCACACGACTTCTCTCCCGGTCTCGGCTTCACCTCCCGAAATCCACTGCTCCGTCCGATCCCGTCCAGAGAGCCGACCACAAGCTCCGACCTCCTCTTCGGCCTGCTCCCCGAACTCCACCTTCCGGCCGAACATTTCCACCTAACCCGAACTCCTCCAAATCCCGCAGCTTCCTCCTCCCATCTCTCGGTCCTTCGACCTCCACCTTTCGTCGCCTCCCGATCCGCAGAGAGAGAGAGAGAGGAAGAGAGAGAGGGAAGGGCCGACCTACCTCCTCCTCTGTTGGCAGGCTTTGCTCATCCGACAACTTTCCTTTCCTGCTAGGATCGGAAGTTATAACATTTTGAGCGAAAGCAACAACAGGAGTTCGCTGGTTATGAAGGTAAATTTCTCCCTTTCGTGCCCTTCTTCCGCCAAATCCAGTGAAGCCGCCGAGGAAATGGAGAGAGGAAATATAGTTTTGATTAAAATTAATGTTGATTAATTTTAATCAAAATTAATAATAATTATTAGTTAATTTTAAAGTTCGTATCGCCTTGGAAACCCCGCCTATGCACGCTTTTCTTAGCGTGGTGGGAGGGAGTGCGTCACGACATTTGCGACGAAGCGGGTAATCACCCAAATTCCTTCTTCGAAGTTCGTATCGCCTTGGAAACCCCGCCTATGCACGCTTTTCTTAGCGTGGTGGGAAGGGATCCCGGTGCGATGCGCACGACGAAGCGGGGATACCCATAAGTACCCGCTTGTAGGGAAATAACTGCCTTGCTTACAAAATATTTTCAAAAATAAAAAAATACTTTTTTACAAAAAAAAATACCCATGCACGCTTTTCTTAGCGTGGTGGGAGATCGAAAAATTACACGGCCGCGGTGTCCTTGAAAGAGGGCATCTGCCATGCACGCTTTTCTTAGCGTGGTGGGAAAGGCCCAATTTTCCGTAGTTTTCCCCTAAACGGAGGAGATGGCGGAAGGCTGCCGAAATTTCGGGTGAACATAATGTTTTATTTGGACTTGGTTGAACTCAAAGGATGATTGAACTTGGACTCGGACTTGTGAGCCTTTGAACTTGAGAAGACAATGAACTTGTGGACTTGAATCAATTGACTTAAGAAAATCTAAACTCAAATACATTTGAAAATATAAGATTTGAGCCTACATTTGATCTAAAAATCAAATGAGAAGAACGAAGAGCTAAAATTTGATTGAACTCAAGAGGCTACAAAAGACTTGACTTGAGCTAGAATAAGAACTTGATACTTGAACAATCACAAGGTTTTGAATCATATGCAAGAGCATTTGAATCCAAATTTGGACCAAATACAAAGGGCTTTGAGCTCATTTTGAACAAACTTGAATATACAACAAGATTAACAGTCACAAGAAATTGGGCCTTAAATCCAATTGTTCGCAATCATGCAAATGATAGAAGGTGACTCAAAGGAATTCAAATAAATGATAGAAGACTTGAAGCATATGAAATAAGATCTTGGTTCAATGAATGAGCAATCAAAATGGAAAAGTTCAATGAATAAATCTTGAGCATCCAAACAAACATCAATGAATAGAACTTGGATCTGAATTTGGTCTAAGGAATGTGAAAACTTTGCTTGAATGCAAAATTTGAACTTGAACTGAGTGACATTGTTTGGGACTTGAACAAAGAACTACAAGCTCAACTTTCCTACAAGCATCAACAAATAAATCATGAGCAATAACCTATGGTGAATAGAATCTCTATATCTCACTCATAAGAGCAAGTGATATGAATTTGTTGAGCAGAAGATAGTTACAATGGAGATATTCATAAAAGATTTACATATGAATGTATCCATTATCAACAACAATTCAACATGCAAGCAAAGGTACAAACAAGGGTAACATACCGGCAAAGTATACGAGCTCCTACAAGTTAACATGTAAAACTCTTCATTCATACAATGATCTTATCTACAAGTAGTGTTGATGAACACATCACTAGTGTGACAGATTTTCTACATGAATAAGATAGAAGATTGTAGCGGATGTGAACTTTTACTACCAATGATGGAAGATGTATCATATGTATAGTAAGGTACATATGTGGGTACGATGAGTAATTAGCAGATAAAATGCACTGAACCTCAACAAATCATAGCAATTCATATGTAATATGAGATGTTCACAAGCAGAATGCATCGTCGACGATAATTCCACATGGGTCAAATACACTGGTTCTCTAATGCAGAAACAGACGTATAACAAATGCAAATGCCTACGAGAGTTTGTAGAAGACCCGCTTTGCATACAATATGTCATCTACAAGAAGGATACCAGGCGTCTGCCACAAGTGTTAAGATACTAATGCAGTCTATAATCAGGCAGTGGCAAGTAGATGCATATGTCTCTCACAAGCGGGAGAAATTTGATATACAACAAGTACAAGCCCTATGAGCTTCTACAACCGAGAGGCAGGAGATTAGTTAGTGCACTATGACCCGCCTACAAAAATCAACAAATAGTGCACGACAGTCTACCTGTACAAAGCAGCAAACAACTGATCCATAAGCTGTTATTTCACGCCACCGGATCTGCAACACTTATACAAGCAGACAAAAGGCGTCTACGATTTACAACGCCACGCCACTGGATCTGCAACATTCGTACAAGCAGACATAAGGCGTCTATTCCAAGAATACCCCGCACGTGCACAATAGTTTGTATACACATAGGCACACTAAAAGGGGTAAATGTAATCAAATACCCGCATGGGCCCCTGCGAGCGTGTTATTGGTACACACGTGATGTCTAGGGATGCTGCGCGGGTTGACAAGTGAATTTAGGTTCGAAACCGATCCTTCTATACGGGTCAATAGAAGTCGATAGGGTTCGAACCATTAAGCAAATATAAAGTCGTGGCGACCGGTATATTTGCTTTAAAATATTCATATTAGGCCATCAAGGCCTACAACAATATGAATTCACTAATAAAGGCTCAAAGCCTACAAAACTCGATCCTTTGTCGATAGCTCGACAGAGTTGACAAGGTTCAATCCATAAAAAGAAATGACCCCCACAACACCCCGATGATGGCCGCATTGATTGGTTATCTCAACCGGAGGGGCTCACAAATATTTTCAAATTACATCCAAATGTCAGAAAATCTAAACTCCACAAAGTCCAAATCCAAAAAAAAAAAAAAACCAAAATCCTAAAAAACTCCACAAAAATCTCAAAATCCAAAAACTCCACAAAATTGCCAAAATCCAAAATATTTAAAATTGAAATCATCCATCCCAACGCTTAAAGCAAAATTCATCCACCCTCCGCAATAGTTTGCCATGGCGGACAAATTAAAATTTACTTCAGCTCACAAAGAGCCAAATGCCTAGTAGAAAATATTACTAGGATCCATTCTCAAACAATCTCTTGCCAGTAAGGACGTGGTACGTGTCCTCTAACCGACAGTTTCGCTGCCAAATGGCACTGCAGGTAAACGGTTATGACCCGAGGCCCTCTGAACCGAGTGGTTTTGCCGCCAAATGGTACCACAGATAGCGGTTATGGCCAGAGCCAATACGCTCCTTAATGGCGTTAAATCCTTGAGATATGAATCAATATGATATGATCGATAGGGCACAAAGCCCTCTGTAAGCTAAGGCGGATTTAAATTTGTCCCCTTAGACAAACATTCACCCCAGGTCTACAAGGTTCCCTTGGACGAAGCAACCCATGGCTGCCGACAAGGATCCTTCTGTCAGGTTGGGTCGACTACCTCCTCTGACTAAGTAGACCAGGGACCATGATGGCCCGGAACGACGGAACCATGTGATCTTGATTGGGCCCATCATCCATTCCCCCACCATCCGCTTTAAGTGCAAGATGGTGTAATTTCTATGTTTAAATATCAAATCTCCAAGTTTTTCAACCCTTCAAATTCCAAATCCAAACCCAACTCTTCAAACCCATGCTGCTACTATATGCCAGATAACACGTATATTCTACGTATCTGATTGACGACTAGCCTTAATCGAAAGTTCTCTCTCGTGATTAGGAGGGGTAATTAACTATATGGGCTTGCGCCTATAGGAAACCAGAACTCAGATCATAAAGTCCTCGCAAAATGAGGGCGAAATCTCTGGGTAGTGTCTTATCTACAAACCCATCTGCCTTCCAAAATTTACCTCGGAACTTATCAGTTAAAACTCCCTCGCTGAATAAAAAGAAAAGCGAGCGGAGGCCGGGGCCAAATTTTCGGAGCCCACATTCAGCCTAACCATTAGCTTAAACACTCCAAATGAAGACAATGCTCGAGCAGAGATATGGGATCTTACTGCACAAACAGGTTTTTATACATGGTAAACATGCTTAGTAAAGCAAATCAAGTGGCAAAATACTTCCGAAGTCTTCTTAAACATGTTACGTCAAATACAATTGCCAACAAAGTGCAAAATAAAACAATTAAGAAATTGATATTATAGAATTTTTCTTGCAACTAAATTTCCAGCGATTAAAGAAAATTCAAGAGTGAATACAAACAATTATTTTAAACGAACTAAGCAAAACTACTGTATATGTAAAAAAACTAGAGTTCATTCCATGCATGAAACTTTAAATCAACAATAAGAAGCACTTAAATCACCTTTCGAGCTTCTGTGTCCTTCCAAATATTGCCAGCGAACCCTAGAACAACAACAACTACTAGCTGGAACAAAAATATAGCACCAGTCAATTTATCAATCATTGCATCAACAGCAGTGAGTTTGGGCTCCGCTATGCCTCTACTCATGCCCAGCTTAGTTTCATTTCCTAGGGAGAAAAAATAAAACAAAGTCATATATAAATTTGTACAAATATATGTATATTAAAGCAATATTAGCAAATGCATGTACTTCTAGCGTCAGATAAAACCCAAAAATCCATTAGTTACCATCATTTTGCTAGCATATATGCCAACAGAACGAAATCAAAAAGTAAAACCATGAAAAGACGAATAGAAAAAGATAGGGAAAAAAAACTTAAAGCCAATGAAACATATCTAATATTTGATTTAGAAAAAAAAAAAAAAAGCACTCATTCCACCTAAAATAACCTTTTCATAGATACAAAAAACAGTTGCAGATATAAAAATACTAAAATTAATGCATGCCAAGCATAGACTTTGGTGATCGAGTATATACAATGGAGGGCAACATATGCACCAATAAAATGAGTAGATAGAATTTAAATAAAAATATTATGAAGAAAAAATGGTAGGAAAGAAGTAATGAATGTTATTGATTGGATATATACACTATGGATTAAAATATTATAACTATCATAATCATAGAATACCTGTGTAAACTGCGACTCCACAAGCCCATTCTGTGTTTCTCAAGTAACAGGACTGTAGGAGAGTGTTATTGATTGTTAAAGGGCATATATCATTGTCAAGGAATGGGGGGAATAAGCGCATATTTGAATCAAATCTTCTTATGTCATTATCAGGATTTGGACACTCGATAACACCCTGCTCACAAAAAAAAAATAATAATACAATAAAATAGCAAAAAGAATAAAATACAAAGATTATCAACTGCTGTCAATCCAAAAGGAAAAACTACCTTAATTTTGAGCAGCTGTTCAGAAGCTAGCCCAATACAAGCTGAGGGAATAACTCTAGTCTTTAAATCAGTTTCACCATCTAGTGCAGAAGTCTGGGGTAGGAAAATCATTTTCCACGTATTAAGTCTAAGTAGCATCAATTAAAAAAATTATAGTTTGTCAATCAATTCACATAGTTCACACTCTGATCATTACGTTGAACAAATATCTACTCAGATAAGTGCATAGGCATAAAAAATTATTATACAATTATTGCTTCCTTCCATCACAAAAGGGGCCAGTAAGGTTAAACCAAATACAGAAAGAACACCAGCCCTTTGATAAATAGACAGATGCAAAGGCACTTGTTAGTGTCCATGTTTAAATCTCACATTCTTTTCAACAACATATTCTGCCAGAAACTGTACACAGAAAAGCAATTTTTTCAGGAATCCAAACTTCTAACTATATTTTATTAATAAATAAAAACATACATAAAGAGCATGACAAGGGAGGTCAAAATCATCCATTGACTATTTCTATGAGGCCATTATAGTCCCAATTATCTAATGTGTTCAATTAACTCCTCGACTCAAATATGATCTAAAATAATCCAATAAATGAACTATTTTTTACCAAGACTGAGTCAAGGCATAATTTTGGATCATATTTGAAGACTAAAGAGACTAAATTGGAGACATTACATAGTGTAGGTGTAAAACCCAATTTTTATACAGGTATGAAAATTAGAGTTTATTTAATTATAATCTAAAGTGTAGAATTAATGTAATATTAATGGCTTGTTAAAATATGCTATACAGTTAGGTTGATGTTTAATTGATAAGTTTTAATAATTATACAACTAATAGAGTTGAAGTTAAAACAGATAATTATTGATATAATAAAGGAATGCTTTCAAAGGGTGTGAGTGATGGTAGTTATGTGGTGGGCCGTCATTTCCCTAATCCTTTATGTAGACAACAAAGCAAAATTTGGGCGGCTGGATAAGGATGAGAGCAGTTTTGGAGTGGGGTCCACTCATTTATCTTATTCCTTTATTCGGAATTCACAAACGAGAGAAAGATTTGGCAGTTATCTTGTAGCAAGTAAGGTGCTCTCCCGGGTCTGTAGTGAGATCCGCAAATCATGTACAGGGAATTCACATATTCCCTTGTAGCAAGAGGCGAAATCCTTCCTGTAAGCAAAGGGTAGTGTATAGCGTTAAAAGCTTGAAGGAAATTGGCTTGTTTTGTGAATGCGGTACAAGGCAAGTGGTTTTGGCAGTGGAATGAAAGGAAAATAGAGAAATAACCGTAATAGAGAAATTGAAGGAAGTGAAGTGATAGAAAAGGTTTTATTGGTCTTATGCAAAGAGAAAGTTTCGAGGTGGCATACAATCGTAGAAGGGTGCGAAGTAGAGAATTGGAAGAGACGACTGGGCAAGGAGGTAAGTGATGCAAATATTTTAAGAAATATATATCTTACCATTAGATATGTACAATGCTTAAAATGACACTTTGAAAAGTAGTCATGAAAGTAGATGATTTGATATTATGCAGGTTTGATCAATCTTTTGTGAAAGGACTAGAAAAGAATATATTTACAAGTTTTCAAGTATGATTAACCACTTACATAAATTAATTATGTGAGTTTAAATCAAGGTGTATTATGTTCATTTAAATATTTTCCTTGTTAATAATGTTTTGGAAAGAGATCATTTTCTTTACTTATTATGTGCATATTCATGTTATGCAATGAATGAATAAGAAAGCATGCAACAAGTATAGTATGGATAATGAATATGGATGATGCACTGAATATCAATTTAAAAGTAAAGTTTGGCTAAAGATTTATGTATAACTTATCAATGCAGGTGGGG